GGGGGGAGAAGGGGGGGGGGGAAGGAAATGAGTACAGAGTTACAGAGTAAATATGGTACACAAGTGATTGCAGTAAACTTGCTTACTAAGTGGATTAAGAGTGGGATCAAGTTCTTTCATATACAACAATGAGCAAAGTGAGTTGGGCTAACCTAGTGCTTTATAAACTGACACGAAGAGACCGGACCCTAGCGCATCTTGAATTGCTACCACCACCTTACTTCATTGGAAGGTCTTTGGTTGCTTAGGGCAGGCCTTGGGGTCATTGTAGGCAAAATGCGCCCGAAAGGGGTCATCGGAGGAATTACCTCGTCAGGTGGGTCAAGCTGCATGATAGATACGCGGAAACAAAATTTTCGAAATTTGGTCAACCCTTGCTTTTTCGTCAACTATCTTGGCCAAGGCACATTGCTCAATTCTTGGTTACCTACAATGTCTATGCGTACCATCACTCTGCCTGTTCAGCTTCAGCCGTTGCCTGAGAATTGGGAAGCGAGCACATCAAAGGGAACGAAACTTTCTGGTGAGCTTTCTACAGAGGAATCGCTGACATTGTGAACTTACGGCGCTCAGCACCTACTGCGGTCACTCTGCTGCCGTACGGACACGAGTACTCGCATCACGCAGCGCGCATCCATCATCAGCGCACCTTCGAGGAGCATGATGCCTACCTCTCGCTGAAAACCGCCCAGGACGCGGCTGCGAATGGCGCGGAAGTCGAGGACGACCTCGGCGTAGGCGACGAGGAGGAGGGGATTGAGCTTTCAACCCTCGACCCGAAGGAGTGGAAGAAGCAGGATCATTATAAAGTATTGGGTTTAAGCAAGTTCAGGTACAAGGCAACCCAGGATCAGATCAAGATTGCGCGTGCGTAGCCTTCACACATGTCGTTTTTTCTTCCTCACCAACCTTTGACAACAGATCGTAAGAAGGTGCTCAAGCATCACCCTGACAAGAAGGCTGGTCAGGCCGGTGACTCTAACGACGACGCCTTCTTCAAGTGTATCCAGAAGGCCATGGAGGTCCTTTCCAACCCAGAAAAACGTCGTCAGTTCGACTCCGTCGATCCTTACTATGAGGCACTTGAGGAGGAGGACGATATTCCGGACGCACGCCAGATCAAGACCTTCAAGAACTTCAAAAAAGCGTATGGAAAGATCCTCGAACGTGAAGCGAGGTTCTCCAAGGTTACCCCCGTGCCGATGCTGGGCGAGGAGGATGCCGTCAAGGACGCTGTTGAGGGATTCTACGACTTCTGGTACAACTTCGACAGCTGGAGGAGCTTCGAATATCTCGACAAGGAGATTAATGAAGGAAGCGACAAGTACGTTTTGATCCTTGTTTTCTATGCATGGGTTGCTCATGTCAACTGCTTCCTGCAGTCGCGACGACAAGCGCTACACTGAGAAAAAGAACAAGACTGAGCGCGCGCGCCGCAAGAAAGAAGATATTGCTCGCGTGCGGCAGCTCGTTGATGCAGCGCTCGCTGTCGACCCGCGCATCAAGCGCATCAAAGCGGAAGAGAAGGCAACGCGTGCAGCCAAGAAAGCTGGTCGTTCGGGTGCCGCTACTCCAGTGAGCGCTGCAGCAAAGGCCGAGGAGGAAAAGAAGAAGAAGGAAGCAGAGGAGGCAAAGAAAAAGGCAGAGGAGGATGAGAAGGAAGGGAAGAAGAAGGATAAGGCCGCTGCAGCGAATGCGGCCAAGAAGGCACGTAGGGCTGCAAGGGCAGCGGCGGAGGCGAGTGGGACTGCCACCCCTGCGAGTGAGGCAACTTAAACTGTGATGAGTGTATCTTATTTGAGTTTTCAACGCTGCCACATGCTGTTCCTGTGCAGGAATACATCCTCTAGTTCTCTATAATGTGTTCGGGAGTCCAAGTTTCCTTTCATTCCTCTGCAACTCGAACAATCGCCTTGCCCACATTCTGTCCTTTCATGAGCCGCACAAACGCTTCTCCGACCGCTTCCCAGCCCTCGGTCACGTCCTCCTGATATTTGAGTTCTCCCCGTGCCACCATCCCCGGTGCAGTGGCGTAGAAGTCGGATTGGTACTTCGAGCGGAGCCTATTGACGACGAACCCGATCATCTTGATACTTCTGTAGATCAGCTCATCAAGATTCTGCGTGGAGATTGTCAGCAGACGCTCCGCTGCGAAGAAAGTAGAGTCCGCAACCTTAGGCCCGTATCGTGACTCGTCATTGTATTCACTCGCCATCCCACAGAGCAAGATCCTCCCCCCGATCCTCATCGCACCAATCGCATCTTTCCGCCCACGTTGTCCCAGTAGACATCAATCCCTCCGAATTCTCTCAACTCATCGGCTACGGAAGTGGTCTTATAGTTGAAAGCTCGATCTACACCCAGCTCGGAGAGGAAGGCAAGTTTCTCGGCGCTGCCTGTTGAGGCAATTACTCGCAGACCTTTGGCCTTCGCAAGTTGGATGACCATGCTATTCACATTAATACGGGACCCAACTTCATCGTAAATGGAACCGCATTCACCTACCGACCGGGCCAGCACCTGTGGAGACGTAGATGCTTTCGCCCTGCCAGCTAAGGCGTTCATTCAGGTCTTCTTTATGAGGGGCAGAGAAGCTCACCGCTTTGAGTTCACCATACTCTTCTAACCCATACCACCCCGTCTCACCTGGCATGCCTAACACATCTAGATATGTGCTCAGAGGGACGTTCTCCCTTTTCTCGATAACGCGCACTAGCGACGCCGTTGAAGCTGGATGGACGGTGTAGGCTTCCCAAGCTGATGGAGGGTTCAGACATTAGTGAACTACGATTACGCAGGATACGCACGCAACCACGCCTGGATATATGTGCCGGCAGGAAGAGCAGGGACTTCCGAACGTACCACCACCGCAATTCCATGATTATCTAGTCTGACGCCCTTGAATGTTAGGTTTTCGTCATTTCACCACGACACTGGCACTTACGTGTCTCCGAGATTCCACTGCGATGAGTAGCGGTGCACCGTGGGACCAGCCATCCTTCCCCTCTGATAAGGATCCAGTGATAAATAGAGGGTTTTTGTCAAGAAGCCACCGTTCAATTCAACAACATCAGGATCGAGTTTGCCGGTCGTGTCTAAGGTAATATCCTTTCCTGGTACGGGATACCCTGTCACAAAGGAGGACAGAACGATGCGAGCATTGCTGGTGGGCGCCATGGTACGGCTAAGAGGTTGCGAAACTCACAAAACCTGAATTTATACAAAGATAGGGCATGCTTTCTCGTAATCTGACTAAGTCAGCTGCTGACTCTTGGTGCAGGTTGCTATTGCGCAATCCGAAAGCGGGATGACTACGACGGACAAAATTCGAAGGACAAAGCCCAACTGCCTCGATATATATATGTATTGGTATCAGTCACAAGTGTCAAACATTCACATTTATTAACTCTTGTCTTCATCCCTGAAGGATCCTTGGTGTACAGGTGAACAATCTTTGCACGTTTAGCAATCAACATCAAATATCACTCTTATTCGGTTCACAAATCATCAGGTAGCAGACCTGTTTCCAACGAAAATTAAGGCCCGAACAACGATCAGCAGTACCCTCGTTCATCTCAAGGGGGGGTCAGCGTGATGCTAGACCAGAAGCATGTCTCCTCATCGAACATGCTAAATCCAGTGAAACTAATGAACCCGTTCCCGTCCGTATGATCCGTGGCTGTCTGGCAGAGGGCTTCGACGCCATTCGAGCTTGCTGCTCTGAAGAATACATCGGTGAACGTGACGGAAAAGTCCCATTCGCCGATCTGGGAGCCGTACAATCTGCACAACCCAGTAAGCTCTCACCTGAATCAGATGAAGATGTGGATCGTGAAGCACTTACTCGGACTCGCACACCGTCATCATGGTGTTGTCATTACCAGGGCTGGTGTTCTGGAAGTAGCTGTCCGGTGTGTTCAGCGTAACAGACTGGCCAGAGGCAGCACCAGAGATGACGTTCGCGCTTTGAACCCACTGAGAGCCTTGGAAGGAGACGGAAGAAGCGATTTGAGCGCCTTGATCGACCCAGATGCCGGCACTCTCCTGGGTGGGAGGGGCTCCACCTTCGTCGATGTTCCACGGCAAGGCCCACAACTACCGCGACCAACCACCGAGTGGATCATGGTTAGCATAATGTGTTTCAGGGAGATATTTGGGGATGACTTACATTCATAGCGTACACCTCTGGGAAAGGGGGGTTCGGGTTGACTTGGTTGCCTTCTGGGCCAAGGAACGCTAACACCGGCTGGACGACACCGCCTCCGGTGGGCTGGAGACCGCACCAGAAGTACCACGGTCCGGTCGTCACGTCTGCGGGCGGTGCCGGAGGTACGTGTATCCTGTATATAACGACCATCCGCATTAGAAACGGGTACAGACTCGGGCAGGAAGAAACAAGGAGATCGTCCAGGAGGGAGGACGTACGTGAAGACCTGCTCAATCCATGTATTGCCATTGTCAAAGATGAGTGCCCAGGAGATGGCCGTCACAGAGCGAACGAACACAGCGAACGCAGCGAGGGAGAACAAGGCACGCATCTTGTCGATTGAGGTTGCGAGAGTACGCAGGCCTACAGTTCCTGCCCCAATAAAACAGCGACCATTTATATCTGCTCGAGGATGGGTGAGCACATATTACGAGCACGGCATCTCCTCAGCCCGGTTTAAATTGATATTGCTGTGTCATTCATGTTTGCCCAGAATGCCGTGTGCCTTCTGGCCATGCGTAATCCGATGCTTCCCCCAAGTCATCAGAGCATTCATCATCAACGTGCCTAGCGATCAGAGGCGGGGCGGGCTGAAGAAGCACACTATTCCGCTATGGCTTGGCTAGACCGTGCAGGAAACACCAGTAAATGAATGAGGAAGCAGTGCATTAAGAGCTGGTGCGCTTCTTGAGCGTGCAGGCCATGCTGAGAGTGACCAGCCGGAGGTGGAGCATATATATACGCAGAGAAGCAGTGCCTTTCTCAGTCCTCCGTGATTCGAGCGACGAGCGTGAAGTTGCTAACAGAAAGAAGCAATTGCAGGCAGAAGACATTATTGCTGCTTACGTAATTCATGGCGCGCGTCATTTTGCGCAATTTCACAAAAAAAAAAGGTCGGATTTTTGGGGATGAATAGATTAATCAATTTTGAAGATGACACTTAGCTTTAAAAACAAGAAATCATGGAAAAATATATGTTGAGGGCATGGTGGGGTTCATTTTTGGCTTGCATGAGAGATGAATATTTTTGGATCATAGCAGATACTGGCCATTAGGGCAAAATTGAGACTGAAAATCAGTTGTTGATTTCAATTTTATCACATATACATAATATAACTACATGTATGGAGAGCATGCAAAGGGAATTGTGTCAAAATGTTGTTGAACACTGCAGATAGAGCCATCAAAGGTCTCAGGAAAGGCCAAGATAAAGAACCCTGCGTAACGCGGTAGCAGTAGTCTCTTTTTTCACCCTGCTCACCATCTAATTATTTATTCTCACTCTGGGCAATATGGGCAACAAAAAAAACCAGATTGCTCACCTATCTTGGGCTCAGCACAAAGAAGCAGCTTCAGCAGTCCAATGGACAGAAGAAACAGAAGGCTTGAAGACAAGATTGTCCAGACCTGTACAGCTAAAGCAGGTGGCAGATGGTGAACTGATGACAAAAATGAATGAGCAAAGTCAACCAAAACCCCAGCCACTTACCAGATGCAGCAAAGTCAAGGAGATGGTTGTGGACATGGCAGGACTACCAGTGGGAGAGACTGGGGATGATCCATGCATGCTTGCACAGTTGACACAGTCCACCAATGTGGACATTTGTGCAACAACAAATGCTGTGACAGCTCAGTCATACACTCTTCCATCTGATCTTGTCACTCCTGGCTGGAATAACAGCACCACATGGAGCAAAGTAGCCAGCTCTACTCCAATCACTAACACAACAAATCAGCCAGTCGACTTCAACAACACAAGCCTCATCCTTCTGTCAGGAGTAGATAATCTTCAAGCTCTGATCAAGGATTTACACAAGCAAGGTGTTGTCACTTGTGATCAGGTTGAGAACAGCATCACATCAGAGCCAACTTCCTTAGTCCTGGCAACAGACCCATTGCCTGAGAAGTATCACACCTTGAAGCAGAAGGCAAGACAGTCAGAGTCGAGCAAATCTTCCCATGATGATCTCACTCAAGAGATGTTCAATGAAACAAGGGACTCGGCATACTTGGAGGGCATTGAGAATGAGGCTGAGGAGGAGGAGGAGGAGGAGGAGGAGGAAGACAAGTCTGGCAAGTCTGCTTGTCCCCTATTTTCAGATAATCAACTGATGTTCTCACAGAACTCATCTCTTATAAGATTACAGTGGGATCAGCTGCACAAATATTCCAGCTCCCTGCTGATAAGGGGTTCAAGGCCTTGCAGAATGCTGTTGGCAAACTCCTTGATCTTTTTCCCAATATGCTTAGCCTTGCATACATTCTCTCAACATCCCATGTGAAAGAGATTCCTGTCCTTCTTGAATCAGCAAGCACTTTCATCAAGATGGTACAACAATGGTGGTGCAGTACACACAAGGAAGAAACAAAGGCTGAACAAACTTACACATGTCTTGAAGGCACCTGGAAGAAACAGTGTCACAGGGCTGCAGAGCTGGGTGCCAAGGCACCCAACAAGCCCAAGAGGCCAGCTCCCATTACAGTCTACATCATTCTTTCCAACACTTCCAGCATAGCCCAAGATGATAAGAGCAAGGACAAAGTCAAGGGGAAGGGGAAAGGAAAGGTGTTGTTATTAGCCTTTCACACATACCTCCCATTGACCGCAAGCTTGTGGAACCAAAAGAAGTCCAACTCTCCTTGCGCAAGTCTTGAAGAGCAAGGAAAGGGATTAGTGAGTGACAGCAAGCAGTTTTGTCTCCTGAAGGCTGTGAATCATTGTCACCAGCATGGATGAGCTGATGTTGCTCTCCCTGGTGGGGTGCATGGGGATCCGTCGGACCAAGATTGGTCCTTCTGGAATCTTGCTTTGGTTAGTGCTCATTCCAAAACAAGATTCTCATTTTGACAATTCTTCAGTCCAGGAAAGTGCCCAATGTTACTGAAATAGAACCCCCAGGCAACATCATGGACAAATGGATAACCATGAGTGGAAGTTGTCAATCTGAAGGGCCCCTTTGCCAAGCCACTTGCCCATCAAAATGCCAGGCTGTGGAGCAAGCAGTTGCTTCACCAGGTTCTCAGCAGTTCTATTCCCACATACCCATGCAGCCTCTATCTCCTCCTTGGGCAGGACCTATGTGGGCCCCCCCTAGTGGGTTTCAACCCTTTGCTTTCCCTATGGAACCCACTGGAATTGAGGATGGAATTGACATCTTGATTCCATCCCCTCTGCTCAGGCAGTGGTTGGAGAAGTCCATGGATGGTAATCCCCAGCAGAACTCAGATCAGCATAACTTTTCTCAATACTTGGATGCCTTCATCAAAGCTGGTTTGTATTGCCTGGGTGAGCTGGTGGCAGTAGGAAGCGTGGACAAACTCCTTGACACCTACCACTCAAGTGAACCCAAGGAGAGGATGTTGCATGGCACAGCAGTGGTGCTCCTCAACTATGCCAGAGTGGACTTCAAACAGCTTCACCATCAAGCAAGATGAACCAAAGCAGCATGGCCTTCTGTCTCACACTCACATCCAGACAGGAATGTGAATGTTGATTTTCATCTATAGATAGTTAGTAATGCATTACATCCTTCCACAGGCAATTAGGCAACCGGAAAGACAGTGATATTCATTCTACCTAGGGACATGACATACATACATGAGTGATCCACGGTATGTCAATGAGTGAGTGGGAGGTAACAACAGTGGGTGGGCAGGCCCCATAGGTGAGAAAGACGACAACAGGCCCAAGCTACATCCTTGTGAGGGGACTAGGTCTAGCAAGGTTGCCACACACTAATCCCAAACAATAGATGAAGTGCTGGGGGGTCTACTGTGGTTGAAAGCGGCTCTAACCAGCAGTACTAGTCAATATCCACATCACCAGGGCCAGCTAGATTATTGGGGGGTCCAAGGGGGTCACTGGGGGGTCCCAGGGGGTGTTATAAGTCAGTTATAGATAGCTGAAACATGTAGCAAGAGTTGTGGAGTCAAGGCAGGTTTCTGAGAGCAGGGTGTTCAGGTGTGTGTAGAAGGGGGTTCAAGACAATGAGATGACTTAGAAACTGCTTGTAGACTAAGGAGTTTCCTCAGAGATCAAATCTGAGGGATACAGTGTCACTGTACTACTGTTTATATACCTTGTAGGTGTTCACTAGAAGCCCAGGAGTCCAGGTAAATTCTGGGGACTCCTACAATTGTCAGATAGATGTCCTAGCAACACCCCTAGGCCTCCCAAACCTTTCCAATAAATTGTGGAGACTCCTACAAGTGTCATCTTGCATCCCACTACTTCCAGTAGGGGCCTTTAGCACCACTATGTCTCACCCCAAGTGTCTGGACACAGCAGTCTTGTGCTCTGCACAATGTCTTGTATGGCCACTGCCATTGTCCTAAGGCAGTTACCAGCACAGGAAGTTCCAGGGGCTTGTTGTTTCATTGCTCCTAGGGCAAAATGGGTGGCCAGGGGTGGTAACAGGCAGTGCCCTGACATCACCCCCTTCTCAAGCTTCATTGACCACAATGAAGGCATCCATTGGTCCAGTCAAGCAAGACCTTCTTGGGGGGTTCTGTGAGGTTTTCAAGTCACTGGAGAGGAAAAGAGGGTGGCAGAGATTTGTTGTGGGGCTTCTGGATGCATCCTATGGAAGTCCTTGATGGCCTGTTTGGCATGTACCAGGTGGTCTAGAGGTTCCCAGGTTCCCTCAGAGGCAGGGTATCCTTTCCAGTGGATAAGGTATTGCAGTTTCCCCCTCCTGAGGCAACTGTCCAACACCTTTTCTACCACATATTCTGGAATTCCATCTCTCAGGATCATGGGGGGAGGAGGCAGGGGGTCACTGTATCTGCCTTCAATTTTGTTGGGGTGGTAGGATCTGAGTTTGCTGACATGGAACACATTGTGTATAAGGAAAGAGCAAGGTAGTTTGAGGCAATATGCATTGGCATTGATCCTTTCCAGCACTTTGAAGGACCCCAGCCACTTGGTATCCAACTTTTTGGATGGTCTAGTGGTCTTAATATTGTCTGCCTTGAGCCAGACTTGGTCCCCTGGCTTGTATTCAGGCACTTCCTGGTGGTGTTGGTTGTACAAATAGGCCATATCTTGGGCTGCTTGTTTGAGCACAGCTTGGCACTCATTCTGGAGGGCCTTCATTCATTGAATAAAATCGTTGACCCCCTCCTCTTTTGTCTGTCTTCTGGGCTCCACTCCTAAGCAAGGGTGGCATCCTGTATCCATCATAAAAGGGCTGAATCTTGTGGAGGATTGGATGCTGTTGTTATAGGTGAATTCAGCAAGGGGTAGCCAGTCTACCCTGTCATCCTGATGATAGTTCACATAGAGGCACAGTGTTAGGGCAGCACAGGCTGACTAAGTCTGCTCACCTAAGAGTGCCAAGAGTCTAAGCA